TTTATTAATTTATAAGATATTTTATGTAATGTTTTTCTCATGCCTTTATTCTTTTCAAATGTTGACTATCCAACATGCAAAATCTTTATAACGTCCAAATAGTTATCAAACATTTCTTAAGAAAAACTATATATTGTCTGTTATTTTCATTAATGATTCTCTGTACAGGTTTGGTCAATTTCACTGATTTCATAACCACCATAAAAAAATTAGGAAATAAATATAAATTATGCCTTTTTCATTCTAGAATGACTACAAATTCGAGCTCACTAAAATCTTACCTTACTGCTTCCAATTTATCATAAAAAGAAAGAGTTTGTTGCTCAAGTATTTCAAAAAGGCTGAGAAAGCCAGGAGACATTCTGAGCTATGGATTGGTTATTCACACGTCAGAAACAGAAGTAGGTGTACGTAAGCAAGTGTTTCCACAAATGGAAAGGGGTGGGCATGGCCACTGTGTTTGAGTCAGTAAATGTAGTGATATCTCAGCAAATAGAAAAGATAGGAGGTTCTTATTTTATCTTTTAGCTTGTCAATATCGGTAATTTGAGTTCCTAATTTGCAAGAAATTATAGCCTTTGTATTTGGACATCATAAACATCTAATTTGAACCAATGCTGCATTCAACATATCACATGACACACAAAACTCGATATTTAGGTGTTTATTTTTAATATTTACTTTTAAATTAAGAAATTAACTAATATATATAATACTAAAATTTAAATTATAATCTACAATATGATACCAAACTTATTGGCATAAATTCATAAATTAGTAGTTCAATAAAGTATTGAATGTGAGTCAACAAAGGCAATGATATGGTTGACCCGTGTCAACAGGGTTAATGACTTGTTGTTACAATTTGTAATGGTAAGAGCCTTTTATATTTTCATGAGATCATCAGCACTATTTGAAATCAAAAACTTATGAAGTTAAATCATTTTATGTACAATATGTGATAGAACTAATGTCAGAGATCTTCTACTGGCCTAAAATATCAAAACACCCAATTGCACACTGTGGTGCCTACTAATCCAGTTATTAATTCCAAGCATACACTGGGTGCAAATGGGTTCTGCTAGTATAGAATGCTACCTTGGGTTCTGTGTTGATCATCAGTATTAAGAAGTTTCCACTCATGCTCCAGCAACTCGTAGACCATTTTCAGCTAGTAGGTGCTACTGTTTTGCTTGAAATAGTGTTTTTAGTAGCCATTTATATGTCTACGAGATGTCTTGAATCAAGAAAGAATAAAAACAATTATTTAGCATACTTTTTTACAAAAGACTGTTGTTTGTAGCATTTTAAGTTATAGAAAGTGACATTAATGAGAATTTAAACATTATTATAGTTCTAAAAAAATAGTTGATTGTTACTACTCTGATAGGCAGGCATATGTTTTTTACCTGCTTTTAGTAATATAGGAATTTTGAAATGTTTCGTTTATCTAGTTTCTGTGCAGTTTTAGCTGAAACATGTAGTCCAAAAAAAAACATGAGTTTGCCTTGTTCTAGTTGCTTTGTCATACATACAGTACATTGTTAACAGAGATTTTGCGGTATACTTTGTGCAACTCTCTCAACACAGGCTCAATTGTTTTGACCAACCATGTGACCACTTTGTACTCATTTAAAGTCTCTATAGTTTTGATGTTACTAACTTTTAATATAGTGTATATATCTTCACAAAATTTGGTAGACTTTCAGTAAACATTATAAGTCTTTCACATACAAAAAAAATCATATTTTTTTTCAATGAAGTATTTTTAATAAACTAAAAAAAGATTTGTCCTTGAATAAATCAAGCATATGTTTTGATGAGTCCGTGTGCAAAGTGATTTTCATGTTAAGATTAAAAATACTTTTTTTCATATCAAAAATCTCAAATTTCATTTGTGGAATCTCAAAAACCTCCTAAATACATTTCAAATGTTTGTTTTCAGTAAAATGTTATATTTTATCTGTTATTTTTTCTAACTTAACTCTATACAAGGTTGGTCAATTTGATAGACCTCGTAACAACCAAAAAAAAATCAAAATAAATATAAATTACCCTTTTTTCTTTGTCGGATGACTTCAAGTTGTAACATGAAACTACATGCGTTTATCCTGGGTTGCTTTAAACTCATAACAGTATACATCTATGTATAATTAAATTTTATTGTTTTATTACTCTGTGATTGCCCTTTGAACAACTAACTACTACTATTCATGCCTTTATAAGTTGTAAATTACTTGGGGAACGTGGAGCTCACCTTATGCTAATACATCATTTGATAGATGAAAACCTTGGCTTTCTATTGGCTTAGGTAATATAGAATTAAACCTAAGAGAGAACTATTAACAAATCCTGAAAGAGATGATATGACAGATGGGTGTGGCAAGAGGAGTTTGATTTTCTATTTGATGGCTCTGTAACCAAACAAAATTGAAGGGTATAGAAATTATAGTTTGTCTGAGCAAAGTGAGGAATTTACATTAAAATTCATACTTATTGTAGGGGTGGTGGATAAAATAGAGAGGAGAGGATGCCTAGAGAAAATATGTCACCTTTCTCACACTAGGGGAAATTCAGGATTTTCTTTAAATATTGCCTTATAAAATTAAGAACTTCAAACTTATATACTATTAAAATATGGGTTATTAGCTATGATTTTATGCTATACTAATTGGTATAATATAAACAAAAAGTAGTTTAATTAAGTTTTGAAAATAACTCTCTAAAAGACCATGACATGAGCAGTTAGACATGCCCGTTATGAAAGGGTGAATTCAATCCCAACCATATCAAGCCCAGGAAAGGTGGACTACATGAGCTTTATGGTTTATGATACACAGGGAATAACAATACCTCCATGTCTAATGTATCAGTGCTGTATAATGTGGTTATAGAAGCCATGCATGAAATAAATTGTTTCCTGTCCAGAAAGCAACTAGCATTAGCTCAGACAGTCATCTGTTCAATAAGGGATGAAGTCCTGGTGTTGCTAACTATCTAACTAGGCACTGTAATAGTTGTAGGTACAGTAGGTATAGTGAAAGTAACTGATGCTAGTGATAATGCTAGAGTTGTGTCTGTCGCACCATGGCTGAAAGTAAATATGTTGCTACTGGCATCTGAGGTTGCTGGTTAAGGATTTTATGAACATTCTAGACCTAGTGCAGTGAAAGCAACTCAAAACTCTTGTTAGATGACTGATAGGGTCAAACAATGGTGATTCAGCACTACATAGATACAGGGTGACATATATCTAATAAACCAACCGATTACCAAGCAGATGCTAGTGAAGGATGTTAATCCCAACAGAACCGACCGGTTAATGAGCACATACAGAGCAATAGAATGGGACCTATAGTCTGTTCACTGAATAAACACATGTATGGGTGGGAAGTGCTACTCCTTGTAGACATAATATATATGTCCCCCCCTACCCTCCATAAAGAAGTTTCAGAATGTCCCCAAGAGTATGTGAAATGGATGATATTTATTATGGTTTACACATATTAGTTTGCCTGACAGAAACTTTGGAAGGCACCACATCAACAAAAGTTATATGGTGAAAGAATGAATGTTCCAATGTAAGGACAGTGTGGTTGTGGTACGTGCCAGCAGCATTAAAGAAATATTTCATCAAGTAAATCCCCTAAAGCATGAGTTACAGCAGACACACAGCATGTTAAAGCACATGGAGCACGTTTATATGCTGCAGCCGTATGTCACAGATGATTCTTCACTAGGAGTCTGAAGAAGAGACTGAGGAGTCAGAGGGGAATTAGGATGACATCTGGAGTCATGTCAACCGTCCTGATGAGGAAGGCGAAGCTGAAGTGACTTATCTGGCATTCTATAACCAGATGAGGAGTTGCTGGAGATTGAAGCAACTACAAGCTCTAACTAGCAATCAAGATTTTAGTGTCAACGTCATGACTGATATGGTTGGGGCTGATCGATTAGCAACTAGGACGATCAAGTATTTGACACCCTACTAACTGAAGCTGAAGTGACTTATCTGGCATTCTATAACCAGATGAGGAGTTGCTGGAGACTGAAGCAACTACTAGCTCTAACTAGCAATCAAGATTTTAGTGTCAACGTCATGACTGATATGGGTGGGGCTGATCGATTAGCAACTAGGACGATCAAGTATTTGACACCCTACTAACTGAAAGAGCATCGCTATTTTGCTTTCTGAGCCCTGAGTGGTAACATAAAATACCATATATGCATTATACCATATGGTTACTACTTGATTACAGCCAGCTAGGTCTGTCAGGTAATCAAGAGACTGCAAACTGAAAGGGTGTGGCAACCCTAGCTTTCCAAGCTAACAAGCAGATTTCACTAAGGTGAGATATCTACCAGATGGTTGAATGATAGCTGCTTGATCATTGAGATTTAGTACAATCACTGATCTGCACAATCATTGACTAAAAGCAAATGGCATTCTTTACTTTCCTTGCTATCAGGTGATGTACAATGTAAATGTTCTATGTTGTTGGATTTTTACTTGTTTGTGAAAGCAAGGATGGTTGGTTGTAAAACAATGGAAGATTACTGATACGAGTAATTTACTACAGTATAGAACAATCACTCAGTTATCAACAATTAGGACATTCGTGATGGAAAGGGAATTGCAACCCGTACTTTCTGAGCCACTGAGTGGATTTTAGGATGTGAACCATCATTTAATGTTTTGAGAGAATAAGTTTCATAATCTAGCTGAATGCGGAGAATTCATCCCACTCAGTACTCACTGGATGTTTTATCTATTTGCCTGTGAAATATTCCAAACATACAAGGAAGCCTTGCTTCCTCTGAGCTTGTAGTTGAGTACATTAATAATGGCATGAATTGTAATCCTGGTAAATAGACTTTTTGTTAAAAAAGTCTTAATTTGTCTGAATTATGCCAGTGATTATTTATTTCATGAATGTGGGGAACCTGGTGATTACAACTGAGACTGTGAGGAATCAACAGTTGTTAATACACCAAGGAGACAATACCCTAAATTTGGGTCTTCAAGCCCAACCAAATCAAAGGAGCAACAAAGGGCTAACCAGGTAACAGGAATTAGCTGGACTTATGGGGCAACCTCAGCTGAGAATACCTCATGCCCCATATGAGATAAGTTCATTATTTAAAGAAATCATCGATGAATCAGTGGATTTATTGAATAGGGAGCCTTGCAGTATGTTTGATTGGCAATGGTTCTATAGCTACAATAGTTTTACTTGATTTGGTAATGAAGAGTGGGAAATTGCCTCCAGTGATAAAGAAATAATGTGGATTGACGTGAATAGCGAGTAGACATAAGGTTCAAGCAAGAGGAAAGTTGAAAGATATCATTACTGTAGGAATCTCCTCTGTGCATCATGAAGTGTGGGTAATTGATATTGAGGAAAAGTGCATATTGGGAACTGATGTGATGTGGAGACATGGATTCAGGATTAAACTAGCTTCAAATAGCTTTGAAGTCTATGACAAGAAAATTCTTGTATAATGCATGACAATTATAGGCTATAGTAGAATCAAACACTCCAGCATATTTTAAGCTATTATTGGTGGGAAAACCTTTGTGAATCTGAAGAATAAAATTTCATCATCAGAGCCATAAACACAATGAACCATAAAATTTGAGTCAAGTATGGACAGGTGGTACTTCCACATCAAAGAACATCAGAAATTGTCCCCTTTAAAACAAAGTGTGGAAAGTCTGATGTCAAATTCTTACATAATGAGAGTTTACCACCTCACTTACAAGAGCTGTATGACCGAAGAGCTATGAAGGCCTAACAACTTATCAGTTTCAGAGGTTATGTGACTTGCTCATGGAATATCAAGATACCTTCTCTGGTGGACCTCAAGACTTAGACTGAACAAATGAAATATCTTAAAAGATTGACACTGGAGATGCAGTCCCAGTCTATCAGTTAGCTAGATGACTCACATCATTTGATTAATGATACTGATTAGGTAAACTAAAATAACTTCTTTTCTTTCTATAAATTTCCTGCACAAATCATTTGTTCATTTTCACTAATTTATGGTATTTTGTTGGATGTAAAGTTAAGCCCCTGAATTGCATGTTCTATAGAACAAACACATCATGCAATGAACTGAAATAAGGTATTCCAAAGTAAACATATCAGTAGATGTGGTAAATTTAAAAACAATAGCAAGCTCAATTAATACATTATTTGAAAAACTGAAGATGCAGATCCAGTGACAACATTTGGATTATTCTTTTACTCTTTCTAGTAATTGCCCACAGCCAGCCAGTTTGTTTTATTCTTTTCACTTGATTTTATATTCGTACAATAAAATATGGCTCCTTTAAATACTTGACTCAAAATAAAATTGTACTTAAATAATAATTATATGTTTCAATTATGAAGAATTAAGAATCACTGTGTCGTATGTCATTAAAAAACATCCTGTTTTGATGATTGGCTTGAAACTTTAATGGTAACTTTTGTTGACAGATTGTCTTTCAATTACTTGGCTTTTGCCTATTTAAAAACTGTTCAGAATGATTTTCTGTTTCTGAATGTTTTACTTTCTAAAAAATGTATAAAGCACAGTCTATATATTTATAGATTACTTACCCATAGGTAGCATTCATATAAAGCTATCTCATTTATGAAACTGGCATTTTTTTATATCAAATTTTTTGTGTTAAACTGAAACTATTATCACTTATAAATAATTTCCTTAAGTGCAATTCAGTATTTTTCATTACATTTTGATACTTTACATTCTAGGTTAGGCTTAGATTATTTCAAAACTACTTGTAAATTAAAGTATGAACCTTCTTAAGTATGTGCGTGATGGAATTAGTCTTTCACTGCCCCCCAATATCACAGTGGTAAATCTGTAGGCTTATAATGCTAAAAACTGGGTTTCAATACCAATGGTGGGCACAGCACAGATAGCCATCGTATAGCTTTGTGTTGAACAACAACAACAAACAAACTTTCACTGTTTCCAGTAATTTTCCACAAACAAACAGAAGATATGCAAAGACAGACTTCCAGTTTGCTTTATTCTTCCCTTTTGGTTTTACATACAAATGATAAAACATGTTTAAAATCTGTCAGATTAGAACTGAGAGTTTCACTTTGTCTCCCATTTTATCTAATGATTGTATTTGGAAATTTACAAAAAAAAACGTTTCTTTTTTAAATATTTTACCTAAAAGAAAATTGTAATTTCAATGCTTTACATAAAATGTAAATAATTTATCCAAAACAGTGAATTATAATAGGTATTACTTGTTATAGTTATGTACAAAAACACATTATTTTCAACTTGAATTCTTACATACAGTTATTGAACTTGTGTCAGCTGTATCTTACAATGGAATATTATACAAAAAAAATATTTTCATGGTATTAAATAATGTTGTTGCTATAGAGTCAAGCTGGTAGTGTAACAAAAAGCACTTTTTGTCCATGTTCAATCACTGCAGCAATGTCTAAAGCAGTAGCAGTTGTTGATCATGGGGGTGTAAAGTTACCATATCTATATATTATATTATCTTACGTAATCATGCATTATATCACTGACACCTAGTAAATGTCATAGACATGTGAAACTAGCTTCCTGTTCTTCCAGTTCTCATGAGTTAATTGGAATAAATAAAATACAAGTAATCAGTGTTAAAAATGAAATAAATAAATAACAGTGTTATTAATCCTTACCATAAAAATTTGATCTATAAATTACTCAAATAAAATGAATAATAATTACAATTCATTTACTTAATCTAGTTCATACTATAATAGTGGTTGTTTAAGATAACTGATAAAAAATATAGCACCTAGATCACTACTATGTCAGCCATATCTCAGATGACCTAATGTGCCCTGATGTTGGGTGAAAAACTTGTCAGTAGTGGATATGGCAGATTTAGTGTAGTTTACATAATATTAAATATTCTTCTTTGCCTTCACTCACAAGTTCTTAGAATTGCTGTCACTTACAGTGTTTCAGGGTTGAAAATTGGGACCAGAAGGCTCCAGAAGTGATTATCATCAAAAGTCCTCACATAATACAAGTTACACTTCTTTTTTCATTACAAAGTGCATTAGTAACAATGATAAAAAACATCAGTTAGTAAATAGAACACTAGAAAGAACAGCATATTAGTCCTGTGGCATTTAAACAAAACTCTATGATATGTGAAGTTTTAAAATTAATATTATATTACTTTACTTTCTATAATAATGCTGATAAACACAGATACAAAATAAGATCTCAATAGTAAAGATAAAAACAGTCATGTAGAGAAAGAGAAAACTAACCTTTTGAGTACTGTTCATACTGATATCTGCAGAAACATCAAGTTGAGACACATTTGCTTGAGTAGTTGTCTGAGACATCTGATCTTGAGTTTGTTTACTTGTACTTTTCTGGTTTCCTTTCTTCCTTGTTCTAAAATTTCAATGAATACCAACATAAGCTGTGTAGTTAAGCAAGTAGAGTATTCAAACTATCGGGTCTTAATTACCACAACATATCACCCTTCTCTCTCTTTTATAATTATCTGAAACTGCCCCAAAAAGCATAAAAGAAGTGAAGTAAAAATCTCTTCCAGACCCATATTACAAAAAACACTGTTGTAATATCACTTCATGCTACACATTTTGTTGATAAAAACATAAGGGATGTATAAAATTCACTAACTGACTTGGCTTTCTTTGTTCTTGGAACAGGTTAAGCAACCACATTGTCAGTGGGAGAAAACTACGTTAGTAATTCTAAGAACGTATGAAGCTTTTAGCAATTCAAGACAAACCATGTGGTACAGTCATCAGGAAGCCCTGAAAAAACCAGATAACTAAACTGTGCTTCTCCTGTTTCAGGTAGGACTAATGGAGTGAGGGGAAAGAATGCATTATACAAAATCTGCAGACCTGCCTGTCTAAGGGCTCTGAAGACCACTATTTACATAACAGGTTATGAATTATTGGTGGTCAATAACAATGGAACAGAACATCTGCCTGTGTTTGTTGTTACTCGTGTAATTAGTACAGATTACATGGGTCAGCACTACATTCTTCAATATGCTCTGGCCATACTTCACCTTGCTGCATGGCAAGGAGTGTCAAGCTAGAATTGGGACCTTCGGTTGCTCTTCTTGGAGCTTCTAAAGCTTTAATTGATGTACCAAACCACTAGTATAATTTTGTACTGATGGCTTAATAATGACTATGTATTATACACTGTCCAGAGTTGGGACATTCAGCAAATGTATATGGTCTTAACTCTCTTGCTATGGGCTTTGTTGATTAGACTGAGCTCATGAACCCAAATTGACCTTTAGGATTTCCAGACTATAACTTTTAATATGTTTTGTGTGTCTTCACAAAATTTTGCAAACTTTCAGTGAATATTACAAGTCTTTTTGTAGACAAAAAACCAGAATTTTTAAGAAAGTATTTTTATTAAAATATTTCTCTGTGAATATATGGAATCAAAGCAAGTGCAAAGTGATTTTCATGTTAAGATTAAAAATACTTTTCTTCATCTGATTTCGTTTGCATAATCTCTGTAAAACCTTCCAAATGAATATTAAAGATTTATATTTCAAAACATACCTCCTTTCATACTACAGCTATTACTTGACTGCTAGGGTTTTTTTTTCTTTGCCCATCTAAGCATTGGTCAGATTTTTTCTTTCTTTCTCCAGTCCTTTATTCGTCACCAAATTGTCCTTGGTGATATCCGTCTTGTGACACTCTCCACCAACATCAGTGTGTCCTCTATCCCTGTACTGTATAAGCAACTCATTCAGATAATATTGTCACTTTTTTCTTGACAAAACATTCACTAATGGGTTTCTCTTTACTACGATTGTTGGAGGTACTTTGAGCATTCTTCGTGTTACGTATTCGATTTTCATTGAAAAAAAATTCTCATTTAGCAAGACGATATATGGCATGAATTTCTGGATTACTGTTTTTGGCACAGAGGCAGATCAGGTCTTTCCTATCCCACCTTTGATATTTAGCATCACTGAACATTGGGGGGGGGGGGTCACTATCAGTTGACCTTATTCGTAGTGAGATGGAAACATATGTTCTATCTGGTGGTGTTTCTCCTGGAGGCTCTGAGGCTGCACTTTTGAGCAATCCTGGACATTGGTGAAAATCTATACTTTCTTTTTCCAGTGCCTTCCTTTTCTCTGTTGGCTTCCCATGAGGCCAATTCTGGATCCTTTTCTTCAGATGGTAAATCTAGTAGGTGATGTTTTGGTTCTTTCCCCAGTTGCTTTTGAATTTGTGCTTTTCTTGATGGCTAAAAGGTCTGAGGGCAATTACTTGGTTCTCCCTCCATCCCTTGATATTGTGGTTCATGCAGGGAGGTTTATTGCTCTGTTACATTAAGGGATGCTATGGCTTGTCCACCATGTTTATCAAAACAACATGCTTTAGCCAGGTGGATGCATCTGTGGTCAACCTGAATAGATCACAATTTTTTAGGATTCATCTGACCCTAACTATGGTGCTAAGATATTTATTATTCCTCCAACTTTTGTCAGAAGCCTCTCAGTGATCGCCACATCCTTTTGACGAAGAGTTGGGACCACTGTTAGCATCCAGCTTGCTTCGATTCTCAGCTTCTGGCTGGTATGTTGTTGGAGGGCATTTGTCTCCCAGCTTCTGCCGTTTGTGAGTTACATGAGCTCCCTTTCTATGATTCTTGATTTTTACGAGTGTTCCAGAGTCTTTGGAATGAAGGATTGATGTCACTTGTCTGCGCTCATCCCTGTAGTCATTGGCTTCTCGACTTTCCTCAGCTCCTACAGGGGGTCATAGTTCTGACCCTTGGTCCATTGGTACCCAGAATAGATTCCACCCATATCTGCTTAAATCAATGGTAAAAGTTTTCCACACATCCAGAAATTCTTGAAGCCAAGACCCACAGACCCCAAAGGTATATGGCAGTTACCGCAGCTGCTTGTAGAGTTCTAACCATGGGTACTACAAGTTCTTGCATCAGGAGTAGTCATTCAGTTCACATCTTCACCACCATTATCCACCCAACCCGTCGTCTTTCTACCTCCCACAGATCCTTGTATTTTTGGAACTTAGTTCCAGGGCTATAGGAAATTTTTTGGTCAAGGGAGAAGTGGTGAGAGTTGTCCCAGTTCTTTCACGGTTTTATTCCCATCTGTTTGTTGTGCCCAAGATGATGGGAGATTGGCATCTGGTCATTGATCTTTCTTGTCTAAATCAATTCCTAGATCCTCCAAGGTTTACAATGGAGTCATTTCTCACTCTGCATTGGCAATTTCCGCCAGAGCTGTGGATGACCAAGTTCAGTATCGTTGATGCCTATCTGAACATTCCCATAATGGAGTCATCCTGCCACGATCTGTGTTTTGTGCGCATGGGTCAGGTGCTGCAGTTCAGGGCTCTTTCCTTCGGACAGGCATTGACACCATGTGTGTTCTGCCAAATTGTACAAGCTTTTTCTCATTGTTCTCCGTTCCCTAGGCCTGTGCACACACCATTACATGGACAACTGGATACTGCTGGCACCATCTCGTCAGTTGGTGGAACATCACACCCAGATTATACTTTCAGAAGCAACCAAGGCAAGCTTTATTATCAGAGCCGAGAAAACTATTCTCACTCCAACACAATATATTGTCCATCAGAGTGTCTTTTTCAACACGTTCTCAGTTGGGCTCAGCCAACTCCCATCCGGCTCCATAATATGGAACAGGCAGTCTGACTCTTAATCATGTCTCCTTTTCCCACTGCATGGATGGTTCTTTCTCTTTTGGGGATGTGGACATCACTTGAATCCCTCAATCCTTTGTGATGAGCTCGCAGTAGATCCCTTCAGTAGTCTCTTTGTGACCAATGGACCATGAACAGCGATCCACTGAATTCCCCAGTCTCCTTATTCAGGATCAACATTTTCAAGTGGTGGTTAGATGGGAACAATACTATGATAGGTGTTCCTCTGACACCATCTCGTCCAGAGATCCATCTCTTCACAGATGCCTCGATTCGGGGATGGGGTGTATATCTCAATGGTGAAGAACTCCAGGGCCTATGGACAGACAACAAGGATTCCTTACACATCAGTGTTTTAGAACTTTTTGTGGCTCAAAAGGTGATATCTCAAAGTCTGGAGTTATTGAGGGGGAAAACTTCATGCTTTACCCTGACTATTCTACAATGGTGTCTTACATTTCCTGTCAAGGGGCACTCGGATCCAGTTCTCTTTGTTTTCAAACCTTGTATCTTCTTTATTGGGCCCACTTCCATCATATCATCCTGCTAGCTTGTCATGTTCTGGTGGTGATGAATTTGGTAGCAGATCAGTTGTCTCGACCCAACCTCATTCTCCTGACAGAACAGATGGTGTATCATGAGGTTTTCTGTTGGGTTTGCTCTCTGTTCTGGGCACCGAAAATCAGTGTGTTTGCCACTCATTGGAACACTCAACTACTGGCATTTTGATATCTGGTACCTCACCTTCAGGCATTGACTATAGATGCATTCAGTCAGTACTGGATGGGATTGCACCTCTATGCCTTCCCACCAATTCATATGTTATCCAGACTACTAGCTTGTCATGTTCTGTTGGTAGCACTAGTTTGGCTGGGTCAATCCTAATTTCTGCTTCTGTGGTATCTTCAGAAGTGTCCACTTCTTCCACTTTTTCTTTGACCATCTCTGTTGAGGCAGCCACAATCTGACATCATACACCCAGCCATCCCGAAGCTCAAGCTTCATGCATAGAAGATATACAGTCCTTCGCATGGCATTGGGGTTTAAATGGAAATAGTACATATATCAAAATTGTATATTGCGAGGAGGTTGAACCCAATTCATCCAAAAGTGCCTAGCATAGCTCATTTTTTGTCCTGGCTCTTTGAAAAGGGTTTTGCAGCTTCCACATTTGCCTTATATAAGGCAAATTTATCGGCTACCTTTAGATACTCAACACGAAAATTATTTAAGTTCCCCATGCTCTCTGGCCTCTTCAATTCATTTCAGGTCTTTTGTCCCAAATGACCATTTCAGCTACCTAATTGGGATATTAAGGTGGTTTTACATGCTCTTTTTCAACATCCATTGGAGCCCTTAGCTTCGTGTACCATGTATCACCTTTCCCTTAAATTTATATTTTGTTGCTGCTGGCCTGCGGACATCGGTGGTCAAAGTTGTTTGCACTGCATTTGCACTGGACACTTTATCATTCTATCTCCGTACTCCTATACCCAGACAGGTCCTTCTTGCCTAAGACACAGGCAGCCAGGGAAGGGGATAAATCCTTTTCACTGATTCATATGACTGCTATTTCTCACCTTTATGACCAGTCGGATACTGATTGTTTGTTATGTCCATTGAGGGCCTTGAAGTGTTATGTTGCCCACACTAATGCCTTTAGAGGTGCTAGACAATGACTTTTTTATTCATTGGTATTCTTCATTTTCCCAAGCTTTATTCCCGGTTACTTTGTTGAAGTGGGTATGAAAATTGATTCATATTGCTTATTCTGGGCTATCTTTGGAGGCAATGACTCTCTTCTGCAAGTCACATCTCATCCGATTTGTCACATTTCTAAGCCCTTAGTGACCCAATTAAATTGCATGTTGGAGGACATTGTGTAGGCTGGTATGTGGACTTTTCCCAATACTCTTATCTATATTATTTGCATGATCTGGCAGTATCTTCCTCTGAGGATTTTCGACTACCCCCTCTAGCTATCTTAACCACATCCACTAGATCATAAAGATGGGTGAGTATCTGTATTACTAATATTGTCTCTTCTTTACTTTTCAGGGTCCCTTACCTCTTTTTCACAAGATCCCACTCTGTGGCGAGTGTTGCCCAGGCATGTGTGCTTTTATCAAACCAAGTTTGTGCTAATAACTATTGACACAATATACTTTATCTAGGGTGCAAAAGGCTTTATAGAAATGAGGTGTTTCATAAGACTGCATAGAGGCAGACCAAGTGGTGTTACTGTACTATGCTGGACTGCCACTCATGGACTGTCTTGAGTAAAGCATAAGGGGATCCTGCCTGTCCCTACTGATTATTGAATTGAAGAAATTAGGGTTGGCTTGCTTTTTAAAATTTAGGGAACGTGGTTCACCTATTGCACTGTTTCTAGAACATTATTCCTCAGGACTCACCCAACTACTACAGTTCAGATTTGATGCTTGGCTATTTGGTTGGATTGAGCATGACCCTTCCTTTTGAACATTATTAATTCAGTACATTATTCATGGAAGAGGGTCCATTGTCTCCTTGTGATTCTGAATGTAGAGTGGTCCCATCCTGGGTCCTTGGTTGAGCACAGTTTGTTCCACATCCTTCCCATGATTCCAAGGGGCAAGTGGAATTTACCTTGCTCACACAGCTGTGGAGTGAGGATAAGTGTTCATAATTTTAGACTGGATGAGTTCTGTTTCCTTAGGTTGAGTACTGCATACAGGATCCCTTCATTCCAAATTTTGGGTGATGCCTTTCTGACTTCATCAGGTTCAGGAGAAGGTTTGTCCACTGAGGTGTTGCTTACCTTCGTGTCGTGATTCCAGTGGCTTGGAACTCATCACTCTATAGCTACAGGTTGGAATCCACTTGCACATATATATATATATATATATATATTGTAGTCCAAATGACCTGGCCACCAACATAGGACTTAGGGACCATGGCCCTATTATTCCAACCTCGAGCAGTGGGACTTTGGCTTCCTTGTTGAAACCCGGCCAATAGTTACGGCGGATCATGTCATAGTCCATCTGCAGTGCATGATTTAGGTTCTGAGTGAAGAGCATACCTGTTCTGGATGTAGCGTGGTTCCTCCAAAAGGGTGCTAATCTTCTATTGGCTTGCCCACAATCTATACAGATGCATTCTATATGGACAACGCCCTCACTGGCTCTTCTATCTTATCAATGTGGGATTCTAGCTGTAGTGTGAGATGAGGTATGTTTTGGAAGTTTACATATTCTTAAATCAAAAATAATACCTCACACACTAATGCCCTTCCTTCCTACTAAGAGCTGGTGTTAGAGACTGCAGATTGAGTTGGTCTCAAAAAAAAAAGGGATAATATTATCTGAATGATGTGCTTATATACAGTACCAGGATAGAGGGCACATTGATGTAAGTGCAGAATGTCACAAGACAGATATTGCCAAGGGCAATTAAGTGGGAAATAAAAGACTGGAGCAAGCAAAAAAACATCAGACCAATGCTTAGATGGGCAATGGAAAAGGAACCCTGCCAATTGAGTTATAGCTGTAGTGTGAGAGGAGGTAAGTACCTTATTGGCATGATTATAAAGCAATGTTTTTAGATTAATAATTAGGCTGTAAAATTCATTGACACCTTATAATCATGGCCAACCACTGGCCCCTTCCCCTACTCTAGCCTGTCACATTCCTGAATGTCCAGATAGTATTCATCTACATATGCATGCTAGATGTAAGCTTAATGCTGTTCAGATATAGTGTTGGTTTTGTGGTACCTAAAAAAGAACATTATGTACACAATTTTTTCCTTCCTATGGTTCTGAAATGGAGTCACCATATATTTGAGTATCACTGTATAATCC